GGACTCTTCAGGGGAATCTTGTGTTTTTTTTTTTTTGTATAAGCAAAGATTTGCTGCAACAGTCTATGCTTTTCCATAGCCTGGGGAGGGTTGGACCGATGTGGTGGCTTATTTCCCTCCTATGGTTTGGGGTAGGCCTGTAGTGGTTAATTGTAGAAGTTTGGGCAGTAGTGCCAGCAAGGTGCTGGTCTGGCATGTGCCACTACGATCCTCTGCTCTGGTCTGGGCTCCTCCTCAATCAGCGGATGGGCATGGCGCTTCCAGCTACTGCAGTGGCAACATTTCTGGGAGGTGGATAACGTCCTCACCAGGTGCCAGGGAGGTCTGTTCCGATCCCCATTACAAAAAAGGCATGAGACAAACTGTTGAGGCGGCTAGTGTGGGTGGTCTTCATCCCCAGCAGAGGCTGTGCAGGAAGAGTTTCAGTATGGACCCACCTGCAGCTCCTACTTCAGCAGCTGATTCTGGCCATGCATGCACTAACTCCTCAACGGTAAATGCAAGGGGGAGGTCTCCTGTGTAGGTTTGTTCTCCTGTCATGTGCAACTCCTTAGGTGCTATGCTGATTCCGACAGTGCACTTTCCTTTATCTGCTGGAACACAGGGTGTGTTTTTTTTTTTTTTTTTTTTTTTTTTTTCCGTGGTCAGATGATTTAAACCTGAGGGTCTCCTGTTTACAGGCTAAAGTCCAGGACAAAGGTCTGGCCCTAGGGAAAGGAAATGTGCTGTTTGAGTGGCTAAACTGGGATTCTCCTGGAATAAGCCCTTGTGCCACTCTCGTGTTAATAGTAAAAGAGGACTCTACCTCAGCTTGTGTGAAATTTCTGCCGTCAGTCAGGAATGAACTGGTGACTACGTTTATTTCTTTCAAGGCCTTTTTAGAGGATTTTAATAATCCTGAACCCACCACAGGTATTACTGTGAAGAAGCCTTTCCATATGTGAAGGTTAATTCTTCTTTCCTCCAGATGTATAGAGTGTCCCATCATTCTCTGTAACGAGACCTGAAGGTGATTTACTCTACACCATTGTGTCCACATAAGCCTTGGCATTGTGCAACCTGACTCTTCCATCTTGCCATATCCCTTTGGACATAGAGACCTACTAAATGTTCCCTGTTCATACAGATAGAGCAGATAGAATGTGCAATCTATGGCCATTGGGTCACTTCTGAGAGGCGTTTCATTGCACTTGGAAAGTGTACTTTGCATGGTGCAAGGCAGGGAAATTCTCTCTCAGGAATTACTCCTTGAGACTCATCCTGACCCTTCTCCAATCTGGTCTGGATCAACATTTGGCCTTTTAGTTCTGTCAAAGGTCAAATCTTGGCTCTAGTGATTTATTTTTCACTGACTGCTTTCCTCTAATTTCTTGATGTCAGCCTTTGTACATGGTGTTGCTCACATGGTTCCTGTATGTCAACCAGTGACAACACTAGATCTCATACAAAGAAACAGAGGGTGTACGGGCCTAGTGCATTACTTATGAAAATTAATTTCTTATATAAAAAGGTAATATACTCACAAAAGGATAAAATATCAAAGCCACATAATAAGAAGTACAGCATGGTCCAATCTCCCTAGATGGTGGCTTTATGGGGACTATTAGACCTCCAAAAACAGCATCTGACACACTTGCCATTCCTGACCATGGGTGGGGCTGCTGAGTACCCACCCCTTAGAAACCAGCATATTAAAACAGAGGACACAGGCCCTGTAGGTACTGGCTCTGAGGAAGAGGCAAGGCCTCGAAACGCGTCAGTATTTGGAGGAAGTGTGGCTTTGTAGACCCAGTACATTGCAGTCACAGGGGACCCCACAACTACAGGATACACTTGTCCCTACTATAAAATCCAATGTGGGAGTTTATGATCCTTATGGCATCATTACATTATTATGTCTGCTACACAACATGCCCTGAACGATACTCATCATCATATACTTCTTTATATTATTACATGTTTCTCATGTGTATGCATTGTATTGAATCACAGTGTGTTCCATTGAATTGTAGTATATTGTACTTTATTGATCATTCCACTCTTGTAGCTATGCACACTATTGGGCTCTTAGGCTCCACCCCCAACAGCATCTGACACACTTGCCATTCTTGCCCATGGGTAGGACTGGAGTGCCCACCCCTTAGAAACCTGCATATTAAAGAGAGGAGACAGGCTGTGTAGGTACTGGCTCTGAGGAAGAGGCAAGGCCTTGAAACGCGTCAGTATGTTATTCTTCCATCTCTTTCCTGCTCCAGTACACTCCAAGGAAATTTTCTTCCATTTTTGGATTGGGTGAGAGCTGTTCAAACTTACTTCACATCCTATGTCTTTTTTCAGGCTCGCTGATTCTCTTATCATTCCTCAGGGTCTTTGTAAGGGGTGACCCGCCTCTCATTTCAACATTTTGTAGGTGAATTAGGCAGCTCATTCAAGTGTATAGGGTTAAGGACAAAATTTCACCTTTTTATGATCTTTTCTGGCAATTCTTTGAGCTGTAAGTGGTTCTCTGTTTTGCTTTGTTTATTGTTGGCTTGATAGCATTTTGTTTGCTGTTTCCCATCTTTCAGGTCGACCACTTTTGTGTGTCTCATATATCTCAAATTCCTTCTGACCCCGTGTCTCTTAAATTAGAACTGAAGACCAAACTTTTTTTTTTCCCATTTTGGATGGAATAAGGGAGGTTTATAACCCCCTTTTAAGGTTTATATTTGCCATCTATGTCCCACTGAGAAGATTTCCCTTCATTCTGTCCCGTATCCAAACCAGCAAGTGAGAGAAAATACTTCTAAAGTGATGGAATCCCTGGTTGTTACCAGGATTATCAGAACTAGTGTACTCATTGGAATAGATTCCCTGTTTTGGGGACAGCCCAAAATTTGAGATTTTCTTATACTTTCACTTTCAGTACTAATGTTAAACAGGACTCTGAGTGGGTGAAACTGGGTATGGACAACAATAAAAACTGGAGGGTTCTAATACCTCTTCATTGTTTCCAAAACTAAAAATGCCTTTAGTTTTCTTTTTAATTAACATTAAACCCAAAAACAAGCATTATATTGCAGCTTACCAGTTCTTAGATGTGGTGACTGCATTATTTTATTTATTTATTTTTTTAACCACTTCCCGCCCGCCCACAATGTACTGCGGCTGGGCGGTAGCTACAGGCAAAGCGTACTAACACAAGGGGGTCGCCCCCCCCCCCCCCCCCCCCCCCTGCTGTGGAATGAAGACCCCGGTGATCATGTGATCGCTATGCAAGCAAATCTGTTATGAATCCATGTCATAACTGCCCTGGCATTTTAACACCTCAAGGAATGATAGGCAGTCAGAAAGTAAAAGCTGTGTAAATTCCAATATATATAAAATAGTTTGTAGACGCTATAACTTTCACACAAAACAATTAATATACATGTATTGAGATTTTTTTTTTTTTTTTTTTTACCAAAGACATGTAGCAGAATACATTTTAGCCTAAATTTATGACTGACTTGAGTCTATTGGATATATTTTATAGCCAAAAGTGAAAAATGTTTTTTTTTTTTTTTTTTTTTTTTTTTTTTTTGTTTATAGCGCAAAAAATGAAAACCGCAGAGGTGATCATATACCACCAAAAGAAAGCTCTATTTGTGTGAAACAAAGGACATAAATTTCGTTTGGGTACAGCATTGCATGACCAGTGCAATTACCAGTTTAAATGGCACAGTGCTGAACAGCAAAAAATGGCCTGGTCATGAAGGGGGGTAAATCCACAGGAGGGCAAGTGGTTAAAGCTTTCTTCTATTTTCATCTGGTGATCTGGCCAGTAAGTCCTGTTTTTTTTTTTTTTTTTTTTTTTTTTTTTTTTTTTTTTCCAAAAGAACAAGCTATCCTGCAGATGTATCTGGTACAGGGATGAGACAAACTACTAAACACTGGCAGTGGTGCTTACAATGATCAGTTTCATCTATGTAAAACCTTTATCCCAAAAGGAAAAAAAAACGGTTGCTGTAACTTCTTATAAAACGCTATATGGAGTTTGGCTTCAGTTGCTGTCCAAATGTTCCCCTTGTGTGCTTTTATTCAGAGTGAGGGCACTCTAATACAGGAACTGTGTTGCTGGACAGATCATCAGGTGAAAACCAAGGAGAAAATACCAAAAAAAAAAGATAAGGAATGCAGCCACCACATCTAACAATTCGTAAGCTCTTCGATGTATTACTTATTGGTTTTGCATTTAATACCGAACGATTAGGAAAACAGGATTTTAGACTTACTGTAAAATCAATTTCTTGGAGTTTATTAGGGGACTCAGGTTTTAAGATCACTCATTACTGGTGTTGCGTGAAACTGAAGGGAAGGGGGGGGGGGGGGTTATACTAGGTGGGTTTTTTTTTTTTTTTTTTTTTGTAAAATAACATGTTCTACTTACCTGCTCTGTGCAGTGGTTTTGCACAATGCAGCACCCAAGCAGGCGTCTTCCGAAGCCGCTGCTCTGTGTGTCCATTCATGCACGGAGCCATGGCTTGGCCCAACCCCCTCTATCCTCATTGGTTGACTGACTGTGATGATTGACAGCGGCGGAAGCCATTGCTGTCTCAACCAATGAGATTGTGATGGGGCTCAGGTAAGTATTGATTGGGCTTGGGTCACTGTTGCACACCAAAGGTTTTTTTACTGTCATGCATAGAATGCATGAAGGTAATAAACCTTGAGCCTTTACAACCACTTTAACATTAACATCTCATTGGTTGCCAGTTTCTCCTGTAGGTGGCAGCATAACCCATATGTGTCAGAATTCCTTCTGACCCTGTGTCCCTTAATGAACTCCTAGAAAAGGAAGTTGTGGTAAGTCAGAAATCCTGTTTTTTCAGTAGAGATTCTGTGTTGTATGGCTGTTGCTAACCAATGTTGAAATTGCAAATTGCTTTGCTGATTTTATTTTTTTTTTCTCTTTCCTTACTATTCATAACACATTTTAACTGCCTTTCTTTTTTTCTTGCGTGCTTCATTTATACGTAAAGTGGTTGCTTAGATTTAAGGTAAGACTCTGTAGGCATGATTGTCTACAATTTTATGTCAATAGACAATACCCAACATAAGATATGGGTTGAAAATCGTATTCAGATGTTCAACATTTTGTTGGATTGTTTGCAGAAACTGCATAACCAATATTGCATTACGGTCTTAAAATATTCAGATGCATCCCTTTTAAGTCTGGGGTGTTGCGCTAATTTATTTACAAATAACCATCAATGTTACTTACCTCTCTGTGTGATCTGGGAAGGAAATAATCCAAAAAGCTAATAAATTGCACTGCTAAACATATTCCAATGTTAACACCATTACAGGAAATGGAAAAACACAAGAACTTAGTAGCCTCAACTGAATGAATGCTTTTATTTTTTTTTATCCCTCTAGACATGTCACAAAATGCACAATATAAGAAGAGTTTGTACTCTAGAAGTAAAAGTTAGCAGATATCACATGTTAAACACATTTAATATTGTACATAAAAGCTATTGTTTTGATAAATAATTTAAATTGTACTGAATAGTGCATCATTTTTTCTCTTAGAAATGTTTGTCTACAAGATCTGTATGCTGCGGTAAGCACAGTGTTATTCTGGCGAGTATACTGTACTTGGCACAGTCATGAGTACTGGCTTGGTAGTGCAGTTTTAATGTAGGTAGGAGTAAAGGTAACAGGTGTCATAAAGCAGTTTAGTTTTGTGGTGAGATTACGCAGAGGAATATAAAGTTTCATAATTCTTGCTAAAAAGATATGAGTAGAAAATGCTTAGAAGACTGTTTTTAGAAGTTAGGTTTTTAGTTCTGTTTCCATGGGGAAAATGGAGAGGGGAGGGGAGCTTCCAGTATCCACACCTGTTGCAATGACAATGAGGATAGAATTTCCCTTGTGTTTAAAGTGTGCAACTCTCATCTGTTTTCTCTACAGGGCAGGAAATTATCCAAAATTAAGAAAAATGATTTGTCTTTAGATATAACTAGTGTTAAAGAGCTTTATTCACCATATACAGCAGCAGAAGCACTAAATACACTTCTTACAAATAGAATGAAGAGACAGATCTCACCTCTTGTGGTTGTTTTAATAAAGTTTTAGTGCCCCGTGATCGCCTAGTAATATCTTGATATGTTACAAAATGTTATCTACACACTTGAGATTTGTAATTGCTACTACCCACATATAAGAGGCGTTGTTTATTTTCCTTATTATTACTGAGGCTGTCTTGCTAAATAATTTTGTTATTAAAATGAAAAAAACTTTATTCAAAAAAAATTGCAAGCACATTTGGTGTTAAAGGATGAATTCACCTTTTTGTAACATTACATGGTACACCCATACTGAGGGTGTAAAGGACCGGCCCCCTTGATCCCCCATTGTGATGGCTTTCCCCCCTGCTAGCTGTCAATTTACAAAAAAAAATTGACAGCAGCCCCCTGTGTGGGGCTCTGCCTGCATGGCGCCAGCGATCTTGCTGATTGCTGGCCCAATGCTTTACAGGCTCCCAAAACAAAAAATAGTAAATGCACATTTTTTACCTGCAAAAAAAAAAAAAAAAATGTGCATTTTATTATTTTGTGTTTTAAAAGTTGAACTTGTCCTTTAAGTGGTGTTGGTGCATAACTCCAGTATTGTTTAGAAATATACGTAGAAAAATGTAACGCCAAATGTGCTTGCATATTTTATGCTGTAATTTCTTCTCAAATTGTCCAAGGAATCTGTTCCTTGAACATTTTTAAAATACAGCGTCCAAAGTGTTGCACTGTCTATAAAACAAATTCCTACACTGTCCATCTCCATAGGTGTTGATATCCTAATGCGCTACTGTCTTCCATTTTATTCAGGTCAGTACGCAGAATATGAAGATGGGTGGATTGCCACGTACCACTCCACCTACCCAGAAGCCCCCTAGTCCACCAGTGGCTGGCAAAGGAACTCTTGGGTAATTATTTTGCTGTCATAGTACAGGAAATACTGCAGTCATCACAGATGCATTGTATCCTGATCTGCAAGCTTAAAGGCTTCCTGGCTGTTATGTTGCCTAAGTAGTTTTCAGCTGATATAATTTTTTATATCGTTTCAAAGGAAATGTTTAAATGTTTCATAAACATTTCAAAGTCTTTGTCCTATAAATATTTTTAAATTCTGTTGATGTTATGTGTTGCGTATATGCATGTCATTTTCCCCCAAAGTAATTGTTCTATGTTTGATCCTCAGAAGGCCTATCTTCTGCATGTTAAAAAGAACAATTTATTATTTTTAAAGCCAGTTATGAATACCTGTTTATTTCCTGCCTAAAATTTATATAAGCAGTTGAACACCTAGTAATAGAAATGGTTTACTTTTTTTTTAAAAAAAAATCAAATCCAAGGATATGCTTTTATGCAATAATTATACTGCTTTACCACTGCTGACAGATTACACTGTCTTCTAGGCATACAATTTACTATATTAAGAAAATAGCTTTTGTAGACCTTCCCATTGGACAGAGAACATCTACATAATGAACATTTTAATGTTTATCCTATTTCAGCTGACAACTAGTTCCCCAGATCATTTCTGTCTACATCACATTTTTATTTTCACAAAATTCACTCTGTGGCAAATCCTTTTTTTGTTTGTGCAATTACAAACCTGAATGTTGCCTGAGTTCTAAGTTCTCAACCAATGCTCTGCAAATGTTCTAGCAGTGAAGGGGTTGAAACATGTGAATCTTAACTGAGGTTTGAGTCAGGCCTACATTCTTTTTCATTAGTTTTACAAGCTGTTCAAAGGATGTTTGATTAAACATAAACCCCTCCCATCAAGAGGTTGAGATGTGGTGCTGTAACACATTTATCCTACTTTCCCACATTTTCGGGATATCATCTGGAGGTTTATTTTTTTACTTTTTGTTTTTCTTCTTGAAGGCGACAATCACCCTATCGCACACTGGAGCCTGTGCGTCCCCCTGTCGTTCCAAATGACTATGTTCCCAGCCCCACACGTAACATGGCTCCCTCACAGCAACAGAGCCCTGTTAGAACAGCTTCAGTCAACCAGAGGAACCGCACATACAGGTATATGTAAGCTATATAAGCAACTGTGCCAAATGGTGGCTGACGTATTCCTATAATCAACTCACCACATTTTATCAGGTTACTGAAGTCTGTTTTCAGTTAGTGCTAAAATCATAAATGAGGTGAAAAAGGCCCATATATTTCCCGATTTAAAGCATTAATTTTATTTATTGGATATAGGAGCTCACTGACTTTTTATTCTTTATAATTTTGCACAACTTAAATTGTGTACTAACTCCAGCTGAAATAATTTAGTTTTTGTAAAGTGGAGTAGTTTCATTGGCAACTGAAAAGAAAAACTGAAATATTGTTACTTAAACTTCTACTTTCTGAAATATCAGGAAACAATCCATTAATTGATTTGTTTTTTGTTTTTTTACCCACTGCCATGGCATCCCTTGTGAAAATGGGGCTTTTTGCTAGATATATACACATTTAATTTACAAGCTTCTTCACTACTACAGAGCATCAGAAAGCGTTTGGCACTGCCTGTGCTTTAAGATTTGGTTTGTGACCGGTGTTTTACCATTTTTGTGTGTGATTTTATTTTTCTTTTTAATCTTTTTTTTTTTCCCAAATTCATATAGGTCTTTTACATTGAGGTCAGTCCTTTTGTGTGTCTTGTTCCAAAAGCATGTAGTACCAACCCTTTCAGATATGTTGTTTAGTTTCCTGCACAGATGTTTTTACTTGCTTTTTCTAAATGTTTTGCAAGGTTGACGTTAGAGCTGTCTTATACGTTTTTAATTTTGCACAATATGCTTACAGTGGATTAAGTGATTAAATTTTGCCTAAACAGGGTTCTTTATACAATATGAAATTGGGAAAAACAGTAATAACTTTTAGTCGGTATTGACCAAGAGCAGCCAAAGCTGAAATAAGGTTGGCTGCTCTTGAGTATTGTACTTATATTACATTATATAACCAAAAGAATGTCTCCTGTAACAGCATATCTTGGTTTTTAAAGCAGAATTAAATGCAAAATGTTTTTAGTCATTTTAGAGTAAGGGAGGGTTATCATCACTGTAAATCTTTTTTTTTTTTTTTTTTTTTTTTTTTTGCCATCTCTGTCATACAAGGGAGATTTCTTTTCACCTTCTGTTCACTATCCAAAGCAGGAAGTGAAAGGAAATCCTCCTCAAAGTGAGGGAATCCCAGGCTGTCACAAGGGTCATCAGAACTGTCTACATTGGAAGATTTCTCCCCTATTAATGTTCTCAGGACAACCCAAAATTTGGAATTTTCTTTTACTTTCACTTTCTGTGATAACAGTAAACAGCACAAATAGAGAGGGTGAATCTCCCTAATGAACACTGTCAGCAATAAAAACTGACAGGTAATCCATCATCCAATCTATCCAAAGATGAAAAAAAGTTTTGCCTCTAGTTACACTTTAAAACGAGCTTCCTCTCGACCGGGACAAGTAGTTTCTTTCTACCTTCAGCCCTGCTGTGGGAAAGCAGCAGGGCTCACCTGTCATGTAAAGCAATTGGCGGCAGCGCTGCTGACAATTGCTTCACACAGTGCCAGCCTCTCCGTGCCCCCGGCATGAGGTCTCCCGAGCTCTGCTTTCCCATCTGCAGGCCCGGTTCGCTATCGGCTAGAAGGGGGGGAGAAGAGCGGACACAAGTCCACTCCCCTCACCTTCTTGTGCTGACCCAGAAGTGATGTTACAATGTCACTTCCGGGTCCCCGCTGAGAGATTAGATTATAATACAATCCCCAGGAAAGAATGTAATATGGTGCGATGTGCACCAAATTACATTCAGTGGAGCAGAGGGGAGACATCCAGGGTCGTTTAGACCTTGGATGTCTCAAAGAGAACTTGTCACCAAAAATCATCACATAGGGGACTTGTACCCTATGTGATGAAAAAAAAGTGAAAAAAAATTAATTTTTTTTTACACTTTTAGTAAAAAAAAAAATAAAGTTACACCCAAGCATATTACCCCCCCCCCCCAAAAAAAAAAATATTGAGGCCACCACCCCCCACATATATGCACATACAAATGTGAAAGCACACGCTGAGGCTTCTACATCTGAAACCGGCGATTGCAATATATGTTACATATCGCCACGCTCTCCAGAATAAGAATAATAATTCTAGCACCAGACCTCCTCCGTAACACTATAAGGACTATCACTATCCGTGACCTGTAAGGAGCTTTAAAAGTGTCAACCTATAGAAAATATAGGGTACTGAAGTTCGTCGCCATTTCTTGAGCGTACACAAATTTTAAGGTTTGACAAGTTGGATATCTATTCACTCGCTGCAATCTCATCTTTTATATTTTACAAAAAAATAAGGCAATTTATTGCCTTTTTTTGTGCCTCAAAATTAACTTACTTGTATTTTTTACTGAAATTTTGCAACATAAAAAATTGAAACTACCACTATTTTATTCTCTAGGGTCTCTGCTTTCAGAGAATATATAATGTTAGGGGGTTTTCTATAATCTTCAGGCCTAAAACTATTTTTTAAACGTGTGCAAAAAAATGCAGAATTGGCTCTGGCAGGGAAAGGAATAAAGGATAAGCCCTGACACACCCTTTCCTGAGGAGCAGCCGATCGGTGCTCATTACAATGCAAGGTCTCTCTCCTCCCTGCTTGTCCTTGGATGTGTTGCTGGAGACAGGCAGGGAGGGGAGGAGGAGATAAACAGCACAATGTTAAAAATATACGTTTAAGTCACCATAAAGCCCCTTTTGTTTTTAAAAGCCCCAGACATTCCTAAAATCACCTCCGATTTAAATACGGGTTTGGTTAAATTTTTTTTTTTTTTTTTTTTTTTTAATCAGGACAAGTAGATTGTCATGAGGGACAAGTAGATTGGGGCCCCGATTTAGTCCATGGACAAGTAGTTTTTGAAAAAATTTCCACACCCCTGTAATGTACTAACTTACCTGTACATGGAGCCCACCAGCGCCTCACTGTCACAGCTTCCTGGCACCACCATTCTCACCCTGTCTTCCTTCCGTCTTCAGTCTCAATAGCCATAGCCATGATGATGTCACTCCCGCACATGTGTGTGGGAGCCCTTGGCTTCGGCACAGAGCTCTGAAGGTCTGGAATGCTGTGTCATCCCTTCAGAGCGACATCACCAACTGCATGCTGTGTTAATATCTCCTAAACAGTGCAGGTTTTGGAGATATTCACTGTACCTACAGATAAGCCTTATTATAGGCTTACGTGTAGGTACAACTTACAGAGTGGACTTTACTTCCACTTTAAACAGTTTTTGGTGGATTGGAGCGATCTGATTGATTTTTCTCTGGGCCTACTGGTAAATCAGTTAAAACATGTCACTTGTGCGGCTTCCAGTCTGCCTGAAAAAAGGGGCAGAATGTCCAATGCAAGGACAGTTTTCCCTATTCATTTCTTGTCCATCATTAAAAGATGGATTGGCTTTAATTTTCTTCCATACATACCGAGAGTGCACATGATATGATTTTATGCCCATAGAAGAGGGTGGGGGGAATTGGAGGCACTTCCCATCTGTATATTCTGGGAGAATGCAATAGTAAATAAGGAAAATGGAAACAGCCAATCACTATTGCTCCTGAGCTCAGGCAGCCAGGGGGAGTCTGCTGAGTTCTCCTGGTGCCCGTAGTCATTACAATTATCACTTGATCCTGTCAGCAGTCAAAAAAGAAGTGATGACTTACCAGTCATCACTATGTCCTTGGCCACAAAGATTTTATGAGCTGTTAGAATGTACGTTTCTATGTCGTAAAGGTTTTTTCAAATATGTTTTCAAACCAAACTATTTTTTCTCAAAAGTTGTTTGTAAAATACCTTTTGATCCCGTACAATATAGAAATATCCTGTCGATTATAAAATACTCCTCACTTTAATTTTTGAAACTTGCCTTTTGAGATGTGCCCTCCTATTCATATCACCATATTATTATGTTCATATTTTGAGGCTAAAGGCAGTATGAAAAGTAAGGTAAGCCAATGCAATCAATTAGGGATAATTTTTCATGGTTCTGACTGCCCTATAATAGATGAAAATGTAGTTGCTAATGTTTTACTGCGTATTGTAATTTTTTTTTTTTTCATATGTGCTGACTTTGGCTACCAGTTCTAAATTTGCTATAAAAACGTTTTACTGTTAAATTAATTTAAACCACTGTTAAAATTTTTATTTACAGTAAATTGTGGCTCAGAAGTGACAGACCATAACTTATCTAATACACACTGCTGTATATCAAACAGGTTTCTGTATTTAAAAAAGAAAAAAAAATAGTAGAAAAGTGTAGTTTTGCAAAGTGTCCTTTTGCTTTACTGATTAATAAATTGGCATCCCTGTTTTTTTTTTTTTTTTTGGCTCGGTTTGCTCCTTGTAGCAGTAGTGGCAGTAGTGGTGGAAGTCATCCCAGTAGCCGGAGCAGCAGTCGGGAGAACAGTGGAAGTGGTAGTGTTGGTGTCCCGATTGCTGTCCCTACTCCTTCTCCTCCCAGTGTCTTTCCAGGTATGTTTTAAAAATAGATTATCTCTTTACTTTGGCAGTTTTGTTATATTTGCATTACAGTAAAATAAAGAATTGCCTCATGAACAATGTGCTATGCTAGTAACCTGTTTTGTATGCTTTTGCTATGCTCAATAGCTTTATTTTTGTTTTGACTTTTCTATATTTAAATTCTTGCATGCACTCTTATGTCTCAATGCAATGTAGTAAATATTGTGAGCATCATATTGTTACTGATTCAAGCACATCATTTAAATGTAAAGATAACCATTGCTATATGACATTGTTTTGTGTTTTGTATTGGTTCATTTTTTATCTTCCATTTTGGCAAACACCTGTGTTCTAAAGATCTAAAGGGCTAGTATAAGTTGTTTTCCTGAGTAAAACTAGTTGTTCAGTTTTACAGTCCTTCTCCACAAATGTATATAAATGAGATCCTGCATAAGCCAAAGAAAGGGTTTAAGTCCCCTATAAGAAATATTTAATCTCCAACATTTGGATCAGTTCATCTAGTAATGTATAGCATACATTGGTAGATAAGGACTATAAATAAGTGGGACACTGCATAGACTGCAGGGAAAGTTTGGGGATCCTATGAAAAAAACATTTGAAGAACTCCGGGCAAATGGACTGTTGTGAATGGACTGTTCCTGATATCATCACACACATAGACCGGCTTTGAATGTGAGGACGGCAGGAACCATCCACCTCTGGATGTGGGGGAGCACTGTTTTCCGGAGGATAGAAGAATCTGGTAAGTATAGCTTTTTCTTTGCGCCCCTGGACAAAATGAGCAGTTAACACATAAAGTGCGGTCACAGCCCCACCCACTGCATGGGAAAATGAGCATTTTGTCTGGAGTTCTGCTTTAAGCTACATTATCAAAAAGTGCTAGAGCAATTAATTCAGTAAAAACAGTTAGATGCAGCATTCAGTTTCCTATAGCCAGTGTGAAAATGCTCAAAATGTTGCCATATCACCAAGAAATAATCACCATTTAAATAATCCTCAGTGTATTCTACTAGCAATTACTTAGTTTTCCCTGCCTGAAGTCCTATGTCCAGGAATCATCAATGAATTATGCCAAGTAGTAGCCGTAATGTCAAGCAGTAATTATCCAGCTAGCTAACATCCAGCAGCATATAGACATGCTAAGTGCTATTGCTGAACAAGGCACTGTATGATATTACAGATTGTTAGGTAGTATAAGAGGCTTAGTATATCTGATCCTGCTTTTGCTACCTCTTCACAAAGTAAGTAGCATATATACAGTTGTGTTTGCTTATCAGTTGGAATTTTAGGGCTATGAAGCCCTTTTTATGTCTTTGGGGGGGGGGGGGGGGGGGGGACGGGGGGGACGACAATGAATTGAGGGTGTCTGTGTGTGTGTTTTGTGTGTTTTTTTTTTTTTTCCCAAGATATTAGCAGGTAGTTCTTGTCTTCTTTCCACTTGTTTGGTTTTATGCTAGAAGGTCTTGTGTCATTTAGATTTCAGTGATTTACACTTGTATATAACTTCATTTTGATTACACGTAAAAATGCAATTTTTTTTGTTCGTATATTCTTTGGCGAACACAATGCAAATGTCACCTTCAATGTCAATTTGTATGTTTTTCAAAATCCCGGAAATGGGATAGGTAATTGGCATTACCCAGGCTTTTATTTTCCTTTCGTGTGCTGTTTACATACGTCTTTAAAGCGGAACTACACTGTATCTCAGCACCACAAATTAAAGATGTTTAACTCATTTTTAATATTCAATGCAAACTATTCTGCTGAGAAATCATTTAGAAAAAACACCCACTACCATTTCTGGTCATGGCCATCTTGAGTGTGGGCAGATGATTCATGTAGAAATTACTTTCTGGAATCCATCTTCCCTTAACTTGGGCATACAGGCAGGAGGGTGTGCTTACCTGAGAAAACCCCTCCTGAAGACTCCTGGGATGTATGATACCATTTGCCTAGGCATGGAAACTAGGAAGTGACTAAAGAAATGTAAAAAAACTGTTTAAAACAATTAAACATTGATATACTTTCCTATCTGTTTACTAATGCTAGCATCATAAGGATTCAGAATAGTCAGTGCTGATTGAGAGAGTGAAGTTCCACTTTAATTCTTCATTGTATTTTAGTTGTGCAGTATATAATTTTATCTTGCAGAATGGCATTAACTGTTTTTTCTGCATAGATGTGCAAGGTAACCTTTACAGGGCAAAAGCTGTGCCTGTTTTAGTAATGATAATCATTAGTGCTCACGATTCACTATGTTTTCTCAAACAACTATTAAAAAATTATGGAATCAAGTCTTTTCCTTTGCATGTATTCCATCCACTGCTGGCTGTGAATGATGGCAGTACCTAGATCTGTTGACTAAATTCCTAACACTGAGCTTCATGAAAGCATTTCTGTTCCCACCTAACATGCTTTCTGTATTAACTTCACATCTTCCTCTCTCCACGTAGCCCCTGCTGGCTCAGCTGGCACTCCTCCCATCCCTGTTACCTCCACACCTGCCCCTGTCCCTCATGCTCCTGCTACTGCCCCTCCTTCCTCAACTACCCCAGATGCTGCTGCAGGAGCTCAACCCCCCCCTGCTGATGGTTTCACCTCTCCAACTCCCCCTGCTGTTTCCTCTGCTCCTTCTACAGGTGAGTGTGTGGGATGAATCTAACAGTGTGGTGGTGACATGGAACTCACATCTAATATCTGTAAATTGCAGTGGAGCTAAATGTATTTAAGTATCAATGTGTCTACATTACCTAACAAGGCTCTGTCGTCAGACTATTGATTTCAACAAAAATCTTCCCATAAGAATTTGTGCTTTTACTGTATTTTATGCATGTTATTTATGTCTAAAAGACTTGCTTGTGTAAATATCCAAAAGCCGTGAGGCTGTTGCAGGACACTGCCATCTTGGATATGTCAGAAGACTTGAAAATGTCACTCAGATGACACTATAGCATTTTACTTTGCTCTTCCTCTGGCAACTACATAAATGTTTATGTAGGGAGATGATGGGAGAGTCAGAGCTAGGCCAGCACAGAGAGTAATTAGATACTCCCAGAAGAGAAATGATTTGCATTGAGGGTGATCGCTGTGCTGGGGAATTTACTTTATAAGAGTAGTCAACTTTTCTAGCAAGTTCAAAGGTATATTGCAATTGAATAAAAAAATCTGAAATTTATGAAATAGAAAAAACCACTGCAAGTAAGCATTTTAAATACTTGTTTTTTCTGTTATTTTTCCAGCTTTTTTAAGTTGGTGATAGGGTCTCTTTAAGGTGGCAATACATGACAGAATAGAACTGTTCAACATATGATCTCAACATTTTCACCCAGTATACACACTTTATGTATAGGACATATTGGGAGATCTAACGATTACCTAGGAGGTATGTGGTAGTGCCAGATTATCTCTAATGATCTTTTCCATAGCCAAAACTGTCCAATTTTCATGATCTCTATCAGTGCTGGTAAAAACATATTTCCCCTTTTGCAATCAAATCTGAGAGAACCTCACAATGTTTGTTTGTTCGTTCCTGTTCAAACAGCTTGCCTTTAATTAAAATTTAACATTTTGTTTGTTTTTTTTTTTTTTCAACTTTTTAGATGTTTCTTATATTAAGAAATCATGGCTGACTAAGGCTTTTTGAACAGTGTTAGAGTGAGCCTTTCCCAAGTTTGTCCTTGTTAACATACAATGCACAAAGCCCAGTCTATATACCTTTGACTCTTTATTCAGACATTCAGTGTTCAAATTTAGTTACAAGCAATAATGATCTGCCTGCATAGTACAGACATGGTTAAGACAAACTCAGCTCCTCAGTCCCCTCATAAACGGGGAACTACCTAGGAGTTTTCCTTGCTGGAGGATCAAGAATAGAGTATCTAAAAGTAAGCTGCATTGTTTATTTATTTTTTTTATGTTTTTAAGGTATGTGAACTAGGATAAATATAGAGTAGTAAATTTGGATGCAAAAATGGAAATATACTTTAAGCTCTGCATCTGTTCCTTAGTTAAACGGATGGCACCCTGTGGTGTGTTGAATTGGGGGGGGGGGGGCAGATTTCTCACCTCTTGTTAGCCTCTTGTGGAGTTACCTGACCTGTCACTCGATGACCCCTACACCCATATGATATATTTCCCTTTTTACCTTGGGTGTCGGGAGAAGCGGAGCTGTCATTTGGCCCCACTGCTGAAGTAAACAAAGAGCAATCCTGCCCACCTATGACATCATTAACCGGGTTGGGGTCACTGGGTGACCACACCACTTTGTTCAGCAGCGGTGTCAAATAACAGCTCCTCTTCGCCCAGCGCCATAGTAATCAAAAGGACGAAGTAACCTGGTGATGTCACTTGGTGACCCTTCTCTCAAGTCATTGAGCATATATAGCGTCACAAGGGGGCAGGGGCACCCAGTGACATTAACTTAAGTGGTGGAGAGAATTGCCAATGTCGTTTGACATTGGAAAGCAGCGGGTGCGGCTGGGTTTGGTGGGTGGCTGGTTTTTTTTTCTTATTGCGAGACAGTCGTGATTGTTCATCATGGTTGACATGGACCTACTTCCCTGGATGACGTGATTGACAATGGATCCACATCGAGGGACTTTTTTTTTCACACATAAAGGACTCGTCAAAATCTGTGTTGTGTTTATTTACACTTATCACTCTGTTTTGAATGAGCAGGGTTACTATGTACCCCATACTCATTCACTTCAAGGGGGGGCCAGAATCTGTGGGTTGTTAAAGACGCTTCCAGATTCCAATAAGCCACTCACCACAACCCCCCGTGCCAGGGTTGTGGGGAAAAGCCTTTGTCCTCATCCACATGAGGTGCTTTGCTTCCCCCTTTTCCATGTTGAGTGCAAGTGGCATGGTATGGTTCAGGGTGATAAGGGGCACACGCTTATTCGCGCCGTCCTTCCTGGCTTGCTGGGCTGCATGCCCGAGAAAGGGCCTGATGTGGATTAGGGGCAGGACCTCACCCTGTGTGGGTTTTTTTTTTTTTTTTTTTTTTTTTTTTTAATTGTTTACTTTCTGCTGACAACAGGGACGCATAGTGGTTGTTCGGACGCTGGCGAATTCTGGTAACAACCAACACAAAAATGGACTATTTGTCCATTTTTTCATCTGTTTAGGTCCTCTTCTGTTTTTTTTAAATAGAACAAAAATAGAGACTTGTTCCGTTTACTAAACAGACCTGAACAGTTGTGGATGTAAATTGATGTAAATGGATGATCATCTGTTTACAACCATTTGCCCATAGGAATGCATTGCTGTCCATTTTTCATCAGACCGATGAAAAACAGACAGAATTCCTGTGTGAAAAGAGCCTGAATTTATGTGATGTTAAAATTTAGCTTGTTAATTGGCAAGAGTACTGTCTACATTGGCAGTGGTGAATGCTTATACTTTACTGCCATTGCACAACTGGACATATAGTAGCGTGCCATTTGTCTATCTAGTAGTGATTGTGTTACCTTTGTAACAGAAATGTTTAAGTATTGAAGTCATTTGAGTGCTTCTAGAACATCTGGGATATTTATTTTACTTCATATTTAGTACATACCTTGGATCCAGTCGCTGATGAATAATGTGAGCCAAAACAAACTGAATTCTATTATCAAAAGTAAATGATGTAATAAAGTTTAACAATGCAACTAAGTGTGATTTTCTGGGTTTGTGAAATCATTTAACAAAGCAGACAAAAGTATAGTAATGGCTTTGAGTTACCACATTATTATTTATATTGTTCTGTGATTATTATTAGTTACACTTTTTTATCTAGTGGTATACTTAATTTTTATATGCAGCATTTTCTTCTTTTCTTTGGATGACTTTTATAATATGTTTAGTATTCAACAAACCTGTGACATTTGATATGGTAAAAGTTTAAAAAATATTTTCAAGTCACTGGAAAATCTTTTAAAAAATCGCTGTATAAAGTAGATAGAATGTTAACAAAAGTATATAAAACCACACATAAAAGCATTGCTGCTTTGTGCAATGTTATATAATCACTTGGTCAATATGCTACAGTGGGGAAGAGTTCAGATTTCTGTTAGTCGTTTATTCCGGTCTGTGACCCCATTGGGGAGATATTCCCTCATTTGCTTTTCCCTTTGACCCCGTACGAGAAATAGGGTGGAGCGGTCATGACCATGATGATATGAACAGAAAAAAAACATTGTAATGGGTTTATTCCTTCCTCATTAAAATTAATTTTTTTGTGTTTTTGTTTGTGCCATTGATGGAGATATCTCCCCTCAGTTCCTGCTTTGATAGAAAGCGAAGGGAAATCTCCCCAATGGGCACACAAAACTATAAAAAATTGACAGAGGCTTTATCCCTTCCTTGTTCTGACCAAAACCAAATAAACTGTTTGGAACAAGGTTTTCACTTTTTGGTTTAGCTTTGTGTGAATAGCAGTTTGATACTCAAAAGGGTTGTCGCCACAGTGTATGGTAACTCCTTTTTGCCACAGATAGTAGCAAAAATAAATTTAATAAAAAAACCACAGTATGTATACAGCCTGATTGTATTAGAGCAACAGATGTAAGAGGATTTAGTCGGGTTTTAAAGTACATCTAAAGCCCATTTAAAAAAAATAAAAAATTAGGGCATGGTTAAAACTACTGAAAAGTTGTTTTTTGTTGCCTGTTTTCTATTGGGGTGATTATTTCCGGTTTTGACACAAGAAGTGAGAGTAGATCTATCCAAAGTAAGCAGAACCAGAATAAGTATCCCCTTTGGAAGATTTGCCCTCTTTTCCAGACCAAGTAACAAATCATAGTTTCAGATTTTCCGTAGTTTTGGTGGCAATGGTCTGCAGAACAAAAAGAGTGAATTTCCCCATCGAGGACACAGCAATAAAAAAAAAAAATCTAACCCTTCCACATTATCCAAAATGAAAAAAAATGGCTTTAGAAACACTAAAGGTATTTATTTTTTCTTTTAGCCATTATTGTCATTCTCTTTAAGTGCTATTTTTAGAGCTATAGGTTAGATATTTGATGTTTGAAACTTGATACATAATGGGAATTTGTTTTACCTGATTTGCTTTGTTCTGTAATTAATCTCTGAATAATATTCTAGATTTAGGTCTCTTATGGTTGTCCTATTACATGCAATTTTGGATTTTCACTTTTGGTGTTTGTAGTTTTTGTAGAAAAAAACAATTTGCTCAAAATATTTCAAGCTAATATTTCTGTGTTTTATGTAACATTGCACTCAGTTTGTTTGCTTATGCTTGTTTAGGTAACCCTGCTCAGTTCTACAGTATGAACAGACCAGTGTCACGGCACACACCACCAACAATAGGAGGTTCTCTTCCATATCGTCGTCCTCCATCTATGACCTCACAGCCAAACCTTCAAAATCAGATAAACGGAGGACCGTTTTATAGCCAAAATCCAGGTGAGAGGCTGAATGCAAAAGAAGGGTAAGGTATTGGGGAAATACCAGATGAGCTCCTTTTTTGCTGTTTAAAATGTTAATGTATATAATATAAAAAAATGTGTGAATTTGACATTTTAAACTGCTTTTGCAACTTTCTGATCAGTGAACTGGTTGAGTAACTTGTCAGCTGCTTTTTAATAGCAGTATATGACGTGTTCTTTTCTTTTTTTACAAATAAAATTCACATGCCTGTGATTATGACAAGCTCAGCCATTCCAGTTGTCATTGAAAGAAATCAATGGCAAACAAGTGAAGCTGCAGCAATGTATCCTCAATAGGAGTTGAGCTTTTGTTGCCCATGTCCTCTCTTTGGACAGTGCTGCATACATGGGGTTATTCAAATTATATTTGGACTTTAGTTTTATAGTGTTATTATTTTACATTTCATAACTTTCTGGTACAATGGAGTAGTAGTTTAGGTGCAACCCCTGTAATTATTTTAGGGTATCATTCTATACACACTTGCTTTCCTCTTGCCAACAATTTAGATTTTTAGCGATTTGTATCTGACATATTTGATTGCTTTTGCACATATTTTTTTCCTGTGTTTTTAAATATTCTTTATAATGAAATATAACCAGCATTTTATATACACCAGTTTTTCTATTGTCCTATTTCAAGGTCTTTTGTAATATTCCTCATTTAAAGTATGCAACACTAGTCAAAAATAGGAAACATTTTGCTCACCCTGTACAATCTCATATTTCTCTATAGTTGTCAGTTTTATGGCTTATGTATAAAATTATGTATCCATGCAGAAATCAAAAACATCGCACTATTTAAACTTTATAGGAGGAAATGTGTCACAAACATGATGGGATAACACAAATGCAACTTTTCAGGCAAGCTTTGTATTTCTGTTTAGATATATTTGAGTCAAATACTGCAGATGTGGTTTTCTTCTGAGAAGAGCTTTTTAACTTGCAAAACAAAGGGGCATATAAAAATTAGTACACTGCTCAAAAAAATTAAAGGAACACTTTTTAATCAAAGTATAGCATTAAGCCAATGGGATATTGATCTGGTCAGTTAAGTAGCAGAGGGGGTTGTTAATCAGTTTTAGCTGCTTTGGTGTTAATGAAATTAACAGGTGTACTAGATGGGCAACAATGAGATGACCCCAAAAAGAGGAATGGTTGTACAGTTGGAGGCCACTGACATTTTTTCCCCTACTGATCTTTTCGTACTGTTTTTTTTACTAGTTTTGCATTTGGCTAAGGTCAGTGTCACTACTGGTAGCATGAGGCCATACCTGGACCCTACAGAGGTTGCACAGGCAGTCCAACTCCTCCAGGATGGCACATCAATACGTGTCATTGCTAGAAGGTTTGCTGTGTCTCCCAGCATAGTCCCAAGAGCATGGAGGTGATTCCAGGAGACAGGCAGTTACTCTAGGAGAGCTGGACAGGGCCGTAGAAGGTCCTTAGCTCATCAGCAAGACCGGTATCTGCTCCTTTGTGCAAGAAGGAACAGGATGAGCATTGCCAGAGCCCTGCAAAATGACTTCCAGCAGGCCACTGGTGTGAATGTCTCTGACCAAACAATCAGAAACAGACTTCATGGGGGTGGCCTGAGGGCCCGACATCCTCTAGTGGGTCCTGTGCTTACTGCTCAGCACCATAGAGCTCGATAGGCATTTGCCATTGAACACCAGAATTAGCAGGTCTGCCACTGGCACCCTGTGCTTTTTACAAATGAGTGCAGGTTCACCCTGAGCACATGTGACAGACGTGAAAGGGTCTGGAGAGGCCGTGGAGAACGTTATGCTGCCTGTTCAGCATGACAGTTTTGGTGGTGGGTCAGTGATGGTCTGAGGAGGCATATCTATGGAGGGACGCAAAGACCCCTACTGGCTAGACAACGGGACCCTGACTGCCATTGGGTATCAGGATAAAATCCTTGGACCCATTGTCTAACCCAAGACCCACTGCACCAGTGTAGGGTCTCTCTTGGTGCACGACAATGCCCGGCCTCATGTGGCTACAGTATGCAGGCAGTTCCTGGAGGATGAAGGAATTGATGCTATTAAATGGCGCCCACGCTCGGCGGACCAAAATCCAATAGAAAACCTCTGGGATATCATGTTTCGGTCCATCCGACGCCACCAGGTTGCCCCTAAGACTGTCCAGGAATTCAGTGATGCTTTGGTCCAGATCTGGGAGGAAATACCCCAGGACACCATCTGTCGTCTCATTATGAGCATGCTCTGATGTTGTCAGGCATGCATACAACCACATGGGGGTCATATAAACTACTGGGTACCATTTTGAGTTGCTGCAATGAAATTTCAGCAAAACGGACTAGCCTACTGCATCATTTTTTTCTCTTTGATTTTTGGGGTGTCTTTGAATTCAGTTCTCTGTAGGTTGATAATTTTCATTTCCGTGGAAGATGGAAGAATTGTGTTCCCAGCTTCATATTTCTGACCAGTCGCAGACCATTACAACAGCCTCCAGTGTTCTTTATATTCTTGTCAGAATCAGCTGATAATGTATTTTATTTTATTGTTTTATTTTATTTATATTGTAATCTGATTTGATTTTCCAGCATGTTCACGTATCATACTTTTTTCGTTAAGTTTTAAGATGTTACTTTGCATGCCAATACTTTTTTCCTTGCTAGGCGTATGCTATTGTGCTCTGCACAGCAATCAGATCAGTTGCTTTCTTGATTCACACACTTTTCAATGTTGCATCTAATATAAGCTCTTTATTGCACAGATTTGGGCATTCTGTATTTGTATTGTTAAAATTTGGAATGTTGAATAATTCTGTATATTCTGTATATTTAGGTCAGCTAGGCTGTTTGGTCTTGGAAGACTAACATTATGTATTCATTAGATAAAAAAAAAGTTACCTGTTTAGTTGTACTGGGCACATTTTGATGCCCTCTGCATGGAAAACAGATTGTTCCCATAGTTAACGTGTATTTGGCATACAGAAGGATTTTACAAGATTGGAACATTAAATTTTCTAGACTTAGCACATTTTTCTCTAGATATGTGTATGTCATGAACCAATCCTAGAGGAATATTCCCTGCATGGACACCCTGGTTAGCAGCTTGGAGAGATGTGGATTTTTTTCTGCACCAAATAACTGTTGTAACTTGGGAGAGATATTGGGGATAAAACTCCTAGTTTGATGGATTTTGTGGGTTCAACTTTTTTCTTTTTTGCGGATTTATCTAAAGTCTTCAGTGAAAGATGGCTATTTATTAGATGGTCAGAAGTGACACCATACATTCATTTATATTGTTGTTTTGCATAGGCAGTGATCCTTAGAGCGGTAACCCAATACCAAAAATTATTATTCTGCGCAATCATGTGGGTGGCTGCATTAGTTTTCTTTATTTAGGCTTTTTCCCTCTTTTTCACCTGGTGATCTGACCATTAACACACCTCCTGTTTTTGGGTGCCTACACTCTGGATGAAAGCGCAACCAAGACTATTTCGGACAACAGCATTGTCAGTCTGGCGGGGTGGGGAACCCCAGAAGAGGAAGGAAGAGACCACTGTGTGCAAAATCCATGTAATGAGCAGGTGAGTATAACATCTTTTTCCCCAAGTCATCTTTCAGGACAGCTTCAACATGAGAGAGGCTCCTCGCACCAGGAAACACATGATTCACATTTTCTAATAAAAAGTCTCTCCATCCCTGGGGTCCTCAGTATTTGTTCTTCTTCTGGCAAATATTGACATAACTTCCGTTTGTTTTTTTTTTCTACAGGCTGTCTGGCGGGGTACAGAGGCCTCCTGGATTCGGTCACCCTGCAGAGCAAGATGGGCCTTTGTGGGTTCACTTCATCCAGGGCTAATTCCTCATGACATTTTTTTCCATTAAGTGGCCAGGATTAGGGGAGGCAGCACTCCTACTCTCAGGCTAAAACTGTCCAAAGAGGCGCACTACGGGGTGGACCTGTTCGAATGGCTTTGGGGGACCAATGGGCCACAATCCTGTGGGGCGTTTAGCCTACCTGGCTGCTGTGGTGGCAGAGGATGCCGACATCCCTCTGCTTGGCATGACTCGAGGGGGTGATGTCAATTTCCGGGCTACCTGGCACCTCAGGGGTCACTGTAGTGGAAAACCGCCTGGCCAAAGAGAGAAGGCAGAACCCTAGCATCTCTGAGGAACTAGAGGAAGAATCAGCCAGCTCTTCCGAGTCATAGAAGGGAGAAATTGAAGAACAAGAACCTAAGTCTCAAAGATTCCTTTTTCCTGTAGAAGACACGGAAGGCCTCTTAAAAGTCATTTATGACACTCTGGACCTGGAGGAGGAAAAATCGGATCTCTCACAGCTGTATGCAGGGCTGCAACGGAAATGCTGGTGTACATTTCCAGTCCATCCCACGCTTTGGGATTCCATAAAAAGAGAATGGAAAGAGCAAGAAAGGAAAGCCTTTTGTCCTAAAAAATGTAAAGAGGTGATTCCTATTCAAAGACAAAGACGCATCACTCTGGGAATTCAGCCATAAGCTCGATGCTCTCCTTCAAAAATTTTAAAGAGCACGGATCTATTGTTTGAGGACAGGGGCTCCCTAAAGGACACGATGGGCCGTAAAGCTTACATGTTCCTCAGAACAGCTTGGGAAGCATCCACGGTAAACTTTAAGTCAGCGGTTGCAACTACTTGTGTTGCCCGTACCTTGGATGTATGGCTGGGCCAGCTCTTCTCCCACCTCGAACACGGTACATCTGTGGAAGAAATTTATTAAATATCTACCAGTCCTAGAAAAGGCAGTGGCCTTTATCGCAGCATTGGATGAGACCATCAAGTATACAGAAAAATAAACTGCTCGCATAAATTCAGCAAGAAGAGCAATTTGATGGAAGTATTGGCAAGGGGACATAGCATCCAAATACAGACATTGTGGGCTGCCTTTCTAGGGAAAGCTCCTTTTAGGCAACACTCAACCAAAGAAACTAAGTTTCAAGGTCAAAAAAGAGGCAGGTTTGCAAAA